GGGGGGGGGGGGGGGGGGGGGGGGGGGGGGGGGGGGGGGGGTAGAGAGAATTCTGCTGCACTACACATCATATCCATATTACCATTGATCTCAACTTGGCCCTCAGTATACAAAGTGTCCGCCTACAACCAATATTATTGACCAGCAGTCTGCCAGCAGTGAACCCCGAGCTTCTTGTCTGATGTGTGCCAGTTTGTTTACTTTCAATGGTCCATATGTTCAAACTTTGACATTCAACATGAAGTTTAAATGTGTTTACCCCACCAATCACACATACTTAGTCGTGCAGTTTTCATGAGTTTTGTAGAATGACATGCATTATGGTTAAAACCCCTATGTAACAAGGTTAACTTGAATTAAACACAAGTGAAACTTAGATGCCACAAACAGGCAAGTGTACACATCTGAAAATGAAGGGGAGATCGCCTCTCACACGCCTTCCCACGCGTTGACACTCGACCGGTTGAATTGAGACTAGATTTAATTACTGTGCCCCTGCAGGGAAGACGCGTGGGAAGGCATGTGAGAGATGGAGGGACCATTACAGGAATAGCGGTCTTCATTTCATGTAGGTCCGCCATATTTAGGTTGCGGCCTTACTGGCACTCAGCTTTTCTCAATCTGAATGGTCCCTTTAACTCCCATAGTGGATATCAGTTTAGTCGATCTCTGACTGTACACTTATTGATGGACTATTAATGGTGTTGAACAGGAACAAGTGTGGATATGGCAGGAAACAGAACTGTGGAGAACACACAGGGCTTACATCAGCTGGCACCTGGGACCTGGTGTACAGAGGCACTTAACACAGGGCTGGATATATAACTTAAAAACTGAGAATTTAACCTGGTTTGGCATTGGGTAAAGAAGTATTAGTCATCTGGATGAAAACAACTTGGTGTCTTAAAGCTTAAGCCGTGTTTTGTAAAGACTAACTTGTAATATCCTCATTAGAATAGATTGTTAATTTTAGCCAACAAATTTGGCAATACTTTACTTTTTTTATTTTTTTTTTATTTTGCTTAACCTGTCTCTGTTTTTAATGTCTTCAATTACCCAGATATTATCCCAAGGGTGCAACAGCAATATCAGCAATAAGAAAATATATAGTCAAAGTAACATACAAGTGTACTGTACACTGTTTCTTTTCACTACATTATGTGCCACACCTTTTTGTCTATTACAGTGGCTGCTGCCCTAAATACCAATTCATCCCAAGTATTCCATCCTGTATTGCACATATCTCTATTAAAATGTATTGCACATATCTCTATTTAAATACAGTATTCACAGTCAGATGCAACTGACTCATATGTGACATCCATGCTAATACAGAACTGAAAATCAATATATCAGATACCAATTTTTTCTCGACTAAGAATTTCACAGCAATGAATAGCTATTTTTTTAATAACAATAATGAAGTAAAATAAAAATGAAATCAGTCTCTTCTTGTTCAATGAATCATTTTCTGTACCACCTGACAACATGGCCCTGCCAGTTTTAACTGTTTTAACAGCTTTATTTAAAAATAATAAGGTACTGTAATTATCCAAAAACAAACCCCTTTGATGACTATAAGAAATTGCTGCTTTGATTCTATTCCCATTGCATACAAGTAGTCATCCTTTCCTTAAATAATCTATGCAAACCCCAGTGTTGTAATTTGTTGGTTTTAACTTTTGCGTAAGTCACAACTCTACCCCTGCTATCTTTTTTAGCAAGTTTAACCTAAATACATCAATTCCATTATGCAACATGTATTTCACATTTGCTAGTGCCAGTAATTTCATAATGGTACAAAATTATCATATCGTTACTGGAATGTGGAATTGATCTGACTGAAGCTTTATGGCATACTCAACCCTTTAATACTAAAAAAAACTGCAGCTGGGATGGTGTTAATCTTAGTGCTTTACACCTATTAACATCCTGGCTGAATATCAGGATTCAAAACATTTCCAGAAATAAAGTTCTTACTGTATGTAATATAGGTACCAGAGCTTGGATCAAATATAGCTCTAGTGTTCTGAAATGGGGATTCCAGTACCAAGTAGTTATCTGAAATATTCTTGGACTCAGTAATGAGAACGAAACGGCTTACGTGAATAATGTTTTAAAATATTAAAATTATACAGAACTTGCTCTCATGCCATTGTGTATAGTTATATGGTTGACATAATTATCACATGATAATGTAAATTGTTCAATGTCTTAACAACCAACATTATCAACAACAAATTCTTATAATATGTGGTGAATAACTGTTATAGAGAAGAGAATTATAAATATTACACAGATACCAAAGTATAGGGAATTATATCAAATTCAGATATTGAAAGAACTGGCCCTATTCACCAAAAAAAAAAAAAAAAAAAGCAAAAATACTTTGAAGTAAAACATCTTATAAAGCAAAGCAAAGATGGCAAAATCTATGAACCAAAGCACTGAAAATAGAAACAAATACTTGAGTACAGATTTGGAATTATATAAGGATTGTTAAGCAAAGGACAATGCAATTCTAGAAATTATCTGATAAAAAGCAAGGGAGTGTCAAACTTAATATAAAGCTTATCTAGATATAAGAGGAATGAGCAGGGATAAGAAAATAATCAATGGTGAATCCTGTGAAGGAATGGGGAATATGCCACTTCAAATAAATATTCTAGATACATGATTAATTTATTCATACCCCATAATCTTTTAAAACTTAATCAGTTAATTTGGAAAGTTTTAAAAGAGCTAAACACAAACACATTTATATCTAACATTTGTGCAATAACATGGGTCTATACTTGTACAGATTTCTTGTTAACTGGTAATAAAGACAAAATTATAGTTTCTTGATTTGATACTACTAACCTGCCAATACTGAAAGTTCTACATGGTAATAATATTTTTCAGTACATAAAGGGGGAATAACACGCTCTGAATTGCAGGTTATATCAGAAGGTCATTGGTGGACCCTTAAAAAATGAAAATGCTCACACATGCAGATTTCCCTCTGTACAAGGATAAGGAAACCCCTAGAATCCAGAGACTTTCATTTATAGATTTATAATTTGAAATGGACGGAGGTTTCAACAATGCAGAACAAGGCCAAAAGCATCGAATTTTAAAGGTTATAAAAATTTAAATCAGCACCTGCATTGTCCATTTCCTTTAGTGGGACAGGTGCTGAAAAATAATGAAGCAAAAATAACCAATTGTCTTTTGTTTCATTGAATTCAAAGAAAAGTAAGTATTCCTATACCCCCAATAATCAACAAAGGGTGGGGGAAGGTCCATCTTTTAAATAAATAAATAAATAAATAAATAAATAAATAAATAAATAAATAAATAAAACATTTCTAGTTGAAATTGCTTGCTACAGGACTGAAGGAGGTGACACTGCAGTCACCACAACACTGACTAGACAACCCCCCCACCCACCACCCCCACCCAACCCCACCCCCACCTAACCCCAGGTCTGCGCCTTCCACAAGAAACTGTACAAACTTGTAAAAATACCTACCTTTCATATTCCAACAGTTCTATGTCCTTCAGGCAACTCTTACTCAATTGCAACAAACTTTCCCTCTGCCACAAAACCCAAACTTTGCAGAATTTAACTAAGTAATCATTTCTGCCTAAGGACACACACAGATTATTAGTAAGAAGATTTTCTGTAATGGATTTCTAAAATGGGTTTTCTATACGTAAGGCATTGATTTTGGTGTGGGAGTTAGTCCTATAATTGGTGGATCATTCCCTGCGAAGTAATAATAATGAAAACAGGAGATTGGGCCCATTTCCAAGATGGATAATATGAAATATATATTTCCCTTGGGTATTATATTTTAAAGAAAGCCACAATTCAATAAAATGATGCTCAATATATTATTTTATATTGTCTGTATCTGACCAATACTAAAACCCATCTTTCTGACCGAATGAACTTGAGAGTGTTGACAGACCATAGGATGAATAAATAAACAAAACAAACAAATTTAACATACTAACAAACATCCTGTTGGACGTTTCTTGGACCATTTATTTACTCACCATATCCCGCGTTGGGAGCATTAGGATCACTGTAGCCATAGCCTGGATTTGTGGCATCGTTATAACTAGGGGGCGGTGGAGCAGTAGCCATGGTGCCCTATGACAGCTGAAACATAACATTATCTATGACAGCTGAAACATATAACATACATTGTAAGTGTTATTTTGGAGGCAAGTACTTGGAACTATCACCAGTGACACTTTGAAAATGGAAATGAAAACGAAAGTGAAACTGTTACATAATATGACATAAACTGTTTATCAGGCTGTCTAGCAGTGAAACTATGGGTCGCAGTTGTCTGCATCTGTTATTATCATATATCTTCTCAGTAAAAATGCTAATAAATAGGGAAATGAAAGAATACCACACCTTTGTTGTGAACTGTCCAAAATAATTGCACAATATGGGATTGGTGAAGGATTCCACACCTTCAGGTGCAAGGTTTAACTTTCCCCAGATAACGTGTTTAAAAGCATAACTGTATATCCAACCCTAGCTATGATCTCATTAAGGTCAAATGATATAGATAAATCCACACACTTCTGATCACTGTGACATTGCTATGGTGTGTAACAGGATGTTCAGTGTCTCATGATTTTGGTGTACCAATGAGTACCACTTCCCTTCACAAACATTCATAGTTCTATACACTACCTTTTGTGGAAATTAATCCTATCCTCATTCCAAGAAGAAGGAATAATCCTAACTTTGTGAAACAAAAAGACATAAGAAAACTTGTGTAATTTTAATAACCATAATTAGAGGTTTAAGGGTCATCATTATCATTAAATATTCACTCATTATTTTTTTTATCTTATTTTCATTCATTTAATTTTGGTGGAGAAGCAAAAAGAGCACAAACACACACAGACCCCCCCCCCAACCCCCCACCCACCCATGGAAGCGGCAAAAATGATCCGACTTCCGCCTTTTTAAAACCAAGTCTGACATAATCAATAAAATACAGTTGTTACCGTAACTTTACATCGTCACAGCTTGGCTACATAAATAAATGAAGAATGTTTCATATGTGGTACCACAATATATGGGAGATTAATATATTACGTACATGAAACTACGACAGCACGTGTAAATGTTTCAATCACATACTGTAGAACAAGGATTTTGTCTTTCGTCGCCGGTGCCTTGGGATGGGATGAATTATGCAATAAATTGTCTTCTGTGTGAACTACTGCTGGAAATACATTTTATAGACAATTCTCAATATATATACGGTAAGAAATATATTCTACTGTACTTAATGTCGCTATCAGACTTACCTCTATCTCATAAATTATGGGAAAATACGCAGATTCCTGTAGCAAGGTTGCGCTAGGTTGACTTTCCACAAATTTTTGTTGATATATGACGTCACGGTAATTTCGGACATCACGCTATTTGTCAAAATGAAGATACAAGGGTTTTTAGGATCACTAAAAATAAGAATTGGAACATAAATATGCTTGGGGCAGTGCAATGTGTGATTTTGAAGCACAAAACGTGGTAACTTTTATTAACATTTCAAGAAAATGGCTACCCAGCATGCAACAGGTAAGATGGCAGCGCCCATGGAACAGGTGCGTTGAAGTCAGTAGTCTGTTTTTATTGTTGTTTTATCTTTTTATCTCTCATAAAAATGTTAAATAATCTCTCAATTATTTTCAGAAAACTGGAAAAAGCAGTAGGATCGAAAAGAGGCGGAAATGGTGGGGAAAACACAAGAATATGCAAAACGGTATGTGCTAACTGAAAGAACTCGAAGGAGTACCAGTAGTAGACGTTATAGTTACTGCAACTAGTAGGACCCACACATGATTAATTTTGTAATATGTTATCCTACTAGTAGTCCTACATGCTAGATACTTCAAATTTAAGAAACTGATAGCTACATATCTGTGTATGAAAAGTCATTTAAAAATTTTGATCTCTCGCATTTAGATCAGAATTAATGTATTCAAGTTTTAGTGACACCATGTTTATCTTTTTTTTTCAGATTCCACTTTTATAAATGAGTCACAAGTTGCCCCACTTGGTTTTCCCCAATTAAATAATGCTATACATACTTAAAACTTGCCACATAACGTGCATGAACAAAAATTTTAAATTTTGGTTCTAGGTTTTTCTAAAGCAGGGTGATGTGTTTGTGATATAAACAAGCTGATTTTTAGTGATGTAGAGATGAGCACACATAATGAAAACATGTATAAGATATGCCTTGTCAGAAAAATTTAACAGTGTTAATTTTGTATACAACACAGGTGATGTTAACACAGTCAAGCCAGCTACAAACAAGACCAAGAGTGCAAAGAAACAGAAACTGTTGACAAGGGAAGATTTTACACAGAACAAACAGGGCTTCAAAAAGACATTCAGGACTTCTCATGCTATGTCCTTGGATAAACAAACAAAAAGAGAACATTCAGATTCATCAGATGGAGAATCTGTCCAAAAAGTAAAAGGAGAAAAAGAACACTCTGATTCCTCTGAAGCAGAATGTGTTCCAAAGTTGAATTCTGATCAGACCGAAATTTGCCAAGAGACAAAAACTGGCAGCCTACTAGTATCCCCATCAAAGAAGGGGCATAAGAAAAATAAGAAACAACCTGAACTGAAGACCCAAAAGGGCAAAAAAAGTACAGTTGAAAGGAAAAGGAAATATGTTCTCTTTGTTGGGCATTTACCTGAGGATATTAGTAAGGAAGATATTCTAGAGCACTTTAAATCTTCAGGTACGTAAACATACCCTTGAGGTAATAATAACATGAATAAATAAAATATGCAGATTCAGCCATGCTTTGCATTGAACTCTCTCGAAAATATTGTTTATTTTGTCAAGCATAAAAAATGCATGCATGTTTAAAATGTTTTATATTCATGATTGCATGGATTTATTTTCCCTGGTGTCATCTTCCAGGGAAAGTTCTGACCATTAGACTTCCAACCCACAAGGAAACTGGGAAGCAGAAAGGATTTGCATTTGTTGAGTTTGGGGATGAACCATCCCTCAGGGTAAATGATTTTCTTTGCTTTAGTGCATAGCATTTTAACATTTAAATACCTGTATACATTACTTTTTTATTGTTTTTTTAAATGATAAATCAAACATTTCGGCTGCTTAAAGTTGGAAAAGAATGGAATTTTTATTGCAAGTATTTTTTATGAGTGTTAAGAAAACACGAAAAGTGTGATTTACTTTAGCTTACAAGTTTAATTTATAAGTGGAGATTAGAAAAGTAATATACAAGCAATGATTTCTTGATTATTCACCTGGAAACTGTGTAGAGTAAAAGATCAACTCGCAATTTTATTTTTAAAAATATTGTTATACTTCAAATTACAGTGCCTTTCTTGTTTTATTATATATTTTGCCTGATTATCTACTGGTTAATTATATTTAATAAAAATATTTTCTATTGTTAGTGATCAGCACTATTTGAAAGATGAATTTTAAAAGTATTAATGGATTTATTGTTAATATTTTTTAAAAATATTTGTTTTCAGAGAGGATTGCAACTTCATCGGTCTGAACTTCTTGGTAGCAAAATAAATGTTGAGTTCACTTCAGTTGGAGGCAAAAACCAGAACCGCCTGGAGAAACTGAAGAAGAAAAATCTAAGACTTGCTAAATACAAGATGAGATATGCATTAGATACTTAATTTCATCCCATCTGCACTCCACAATTACTGCAGATATGACAGAATTTGGACAATTCTGGGTATTCCAAACTAATAAAAATAAGAAACTCCACATAGCTTGTCACCTACTAACTAGCATAATTGCCAACATTGTGGCCTGAACTCTGTCGTTATCAACATATTGAAAATATGGTATTATGTGCAATATTAAAGAGAGGACAGACATGAAGTTTTTTCAGCCCCAGGCATTGGCATACAACAGGAAAAAAAGGAAAAAGCCATGATCCCATTCTATGGAATTGAGAGAGAGAGAGAAGGAGAGAGTGAGAGATTGACAGATGTAAAACACATTTCACACACAAAGTAATATGACATATGGGTACAGCAGTAATGTGTGTAGTTAAACAGTAGTGATCCTTGGTCTGTAGTGATACAGAGAGACGCATTAACACAGCTGTAGTAAATGTACCATGATGTTTACAGGGTGTCCCCAAAGGTTGGTACATTTCCTGGGCAGATCAGGACATTGTTCATTACTTGTCCCATATGAAAATATGCATAGTTTGTGCATGAAATTGTGTCCTCTGATTCTATGAAAGATGTTTTTGGGTCAAGGATAGAAGTGTTCCGTGATGTTCAGCCGAGAGAGGATTTGAAAAGTTTTTTTTTTTCGTGGTTTTGTAGATTTCTTCTGGAATATTACTGATAATAATTTAAGGTAAAATTGTCATATGCCAATGATGGAGAATGCACTATTTGTAATATAGTCTTAATTTAAATTAAGTCTTTGTAAATGGTATTTTTTTTAATCAAAAGAATATATTATTGGCTCAAATAAATATAATTTAGCCTTAAATCTTTTATTTACCCAAATTTGTTGTCTGTAGGTTTTTTGCACTGAATGATGCTACACAAAAGTTAAGAAATCTTTATTGAATTAATGAATTTATAAATATTTCTTAATGTTGTGCATCCTGCTTATCTATTACAGTTACAGATGAAATAGGAAGAATTGCAGTCTATATCTTGGTAGTTAAATGCATGGAAATAATGTTAAATGTAGAGCATGGAACCAAACCATGGCTTTGAGAACAGTCTTGGATTTCGTTTGCCCTTGTAATGGGAGTCTGTGGCCGCTACGTGATTGGTAAGCCTGAAAATAGTAAAATATGTTTATAAGAACAAATAGAATGTTCCACGCGAGGCAACAATTCCAAAGCTAAATCCGTTTATTTTTTTGTCTGAAAATAACATTCATGCTCACAAGTACACGTTGTTGGCCACTCCAAAATCAAAATTTTAAAACAAATTATCGCTGAATTGAGGCTAGTATCACTCGCTTTGAGCACGATCTTACCATTCTCTAACGTAGCTAATCATGTCCTGTTTGTCAGGCGCCGTCCAGTGGTGTAGGTTTTCTAAAAAATTTTTGCATTGAATCCTGTGTTGTGGGTTTTCAGGGCAACCTGCCAGTCTAAACATCATCTAGGAAGAAGTATTTAACCCTTTTTAATGTCATCGGAAAATGGAATTAAAGTATGCTATTTTACGAAAAGTGCAATTTGAATGCAGAAAGTATGAAGAAAGAAACGTGCTTTTCCAATTATATAAGATAAAAAAAGTATGATAAAAAAGCAAAAGGGGACACTAATTAGTGTAGCTATAACGTGGTGTGTGCATATTTGTAATAACGAATAACCATACTTTTTGATACGTATTTGCCATGGACGCATGTAATTACCTCTTCGTGCATGAAATGTGCATTCAACAGACGGCAAAAGTCCAGAACCGCTTTCTTTTTGTCCTGTGTCTTTTCCAGGTCGAGCATCGCAGAAAACAACATCTTGTGCTCGTCCTCTATGTTCTCGTACTAAAGACAAAACATAAAACTCATCTATATGAATTGAATCATTCTCCGGACAATTCTGTCAAATTTTGTTAGCCTAGAACGAAACTCTTATAATTCACTATTGTTATTTTAAACCTCAGCGCAGGAATCCCGAATTTGGATTTTTAAATTTATTAATTTATGGTGGATGAAACATGTGTAAGTCATAAATTGATAAATGGTTACGAGTCACAAATTCGCTTCGTTTTTACACACGCGCGCTTGCTTGCTTGCTTGCTTGCTAAAATACATGTAATTTATAGGCCGGTTGGTTTCACAATCATTCATATAGATCAACTTACCGAAAATCTTTTGGACCACAACGGAACATACGGTTGATCAAGCCGCCACTGGAAGAACCGAGCAGTACTGTTAGAATGTGATCATGACGAAAAAGAAAACTATAATAATCATCAGAACTGGACGATATATGCAGAAAGAAAGACTCCCATTCTCCTTGTCAAATTTGTTCAAGTGAAAAGAAAAAAATGTTACAAGCATTCACTTTTAGAAATTATACGCGTATAAGTACAGGACATGACAAGAAATGAAAGAAGTCGTTCTGCCAACGGAGTGATATACTATTAAGATATAAGCAAACCAAATTATGCTTCCTCACCCCAAGACTAAAATTCTCATCCCACACGGACGATTCTGGGACATGCGTCTTATCCGTCTCCGTAAAAGTAGTATAACTCTGCTGCCTATGGCTGACTACTGTCTTGTTGCCGGACCTTATCTCAATCCTGGACACACGGCTACATAGCCTGGCAACTTGGGGTTGGTCTGGAGAATGATCGCCGTTTTCCTGCCACATCGTCGTCTGCTTTATGGGAACGACTCTAAACACCGCCTTGCTTTGTAAGGCAAATTAAAGAGAAAAGGGATAAAACACTTTGTACAGTCTATTATCACAAATACGTATATGGTGGAGAGCGTTGATTATTAATCGAAAAAAATAAGAAGAAACTCACAAAAAATAGTCTTTTACTGTATATTTTGCATTTGCCAACACGCAACATTTTTTCTCTTTGACTTTTAAACAGTTTCTTGTAAAAAAAAAATAAAATGAAATAATTTGTTTAGCTGCAAGAGAGAAAATATTGTTTGTCCTACCAAATTAAAAAGATGAAAAAAAAGGTATTACCGGACACAGAAAGCCCTTCCTATGTGATTAGCTCCGTGATAGGTCTGTGTCTACTATTCCGCGGTGGGAAAGTGACCGAATTACACACAGGTGGTACATATATATATATATGACGATCCTACAACACACAACTAGAGCAATTTTTCGCGTAATTGAATTTCCCTGACGCAGGGTACGTGTGTGTNCAATTTCTGACGGTTGACGAAAAAAGATGACAATCATAACATAAATATCCAGTTTTAAAAACATTTGGCTTTTGCTTAGAAGTTTCATGCCAACACCCTATACACAAGACCCTTTAATATCTCCTAGGGAGGGTGTCCGTCACTTCCATAAAATCATAGACAAAGCTCAATATTGAAGTAAAGGTTTAAGGCAAATAACATGTGAAAAAACACTTCTACAAATCGATATTGTGTCTACTTGATAACAAACAAATCCATGTGGTTTGGCAATTCAGCACGTCCTGGCCTCCGAGGGTCAAAATGGGGGGTGGGGGTGGGGGTACTCTGCCTAAATATTTTACTGTATCGAATTTTTATTAAAATAAAATATTAAAGATGTGTCTTATTCTTTACGGCCTGAGTATTTATTCTCTCTCTCTCTTTCTCTCTCTCTCTCTCTTCACACATATAACGTGTGACACACCTTCCAAGAGCTTTCATCCCGTCTACCTCTCAGCAGGAATTTGCCACATCCATCCATACGGTTGTCATTAAAGTCGTGAACTCTTTCCAGGTAACGTCTTTATCAGTGATCACCCAACTGTAGTTCTCACTTTTCCATGCGCCCACTCGGGCATATTATATGTGGAGTTAAACTTAGTCCAGGATTTACCGACCACCCAAAATTGTCCGCTTCGTCTATCTAAACCTAGACAGTGATATTTTTGATTACACTTTTCTGGACAACATATCACCATGCCTCTGTCGTGGATTTTTAGACGCCATCAAAGGCTGAAGGAAGAGATGAAAGAGGAACACGAAGAGATTCCTAAGCCGTTTGTATGGGACGAGAGTTTCAGGGTCTACGTAAGTACGGCATGCTGCTTCGCTATGATTCAAACGAAAAGTAAAAATAAACAAATAAAAAAGAAACTTAAAGGCCCTGTTTTTACCACTGTTAATGAATATATCTCTTGAGTGGGCTATGTATATATTGTCGCTGATATCTACGTTAGTATGGCTTGATCGTAAGAATATTTAACAAATAAATAAATAAATATAAACGACACTATCATCGCCACTTCATGAATGCATTTACTTGGTGGACGACATATTGTAGAAGTTAACTTATTCTTGATGTTTTTTATTTTTATTTGCTGCATTTTATTTATTTATTTATCTATTTATTTATTTATTTATTTATATATTATTATATTTTTTACAGTATGACAATCTGGACGAAGACCATAGGAAACTTTTCCAAGGGATATTTAACTGCGCCAAGAACCCGGGCAGTGCTCAGGTCCTCCTAGACACCATACATGTGTACAGAGACCACTTCGTCAGTGAGGAGGTAATGGGAATCACTGCACTTCTTTGTTAACATTATTTTATCGTATTTCAATTTATGTAATATATGATAGATATGTCTATCTGATAATTATTAGTTGTTCAAGGGATAAATCAAGAGTTAAGTAAAGCTAAATTTATGACAGATTTCAACGTTGAAAACTTAATTTGATACAATATTTGACACAATAATGTTGAATTCATGTTTAAACTTGCCTTGTAAATAATGTGTTGATTCAAAGAGTTTGAAACAAACTTTATTTAATAGCTAAGAGAGATACATATACTCTCTGTGACAGAAACAGCTAGAAATCTTTGCCATTCATGTAAAATCTCACTGCGTTTTTTCTTACAGAGAATGATGAAGGAGGCGGGGTTCAATGGCCATGACTCCCACAAAAGTCTCCACACCAAGTTCCTAGCCGAGATGATCTCCTTTCAACTCCCGCTGGACGCAGAGACGCTGGAGTATTGTAAAGACTGGTAGGTCTTATATAGATCCATTGATCTGTTCATTAATACAGTTATCTGGTCATTTCTGGTACTAGAACATTTACATAGATACGAGCCAGGAAGTGCATTAAATAAAATATATTGTGAAGTCTACTTCGGGGTAAGATTCTTTATCAAAGTCATTTCTATAAAGTTTTTTTTATTATTTCTGTTTAAAGTCAAATTAACCACAAGTTTGTATAAGTACATATGAATAAATCTTCAAAACACCAGTTAAACGAACAGAAATAACAAACCATATCCTTACTTTATTTCCAAAATAATTTTCAAATGATAAAGCATGGATTCAGTCAGAGTAACCCCCCTTCCCCCCCACACACACATCTGTAAAGCCCTTGAATGACATCTTTCTTGAGCTGTCGAGTTTGCAACTATTATTGCATGTCCTGTCAATCAACTGAAACTACGCCCTTTCCAAGTCACAGGTTGGTGGAAAATACAGGCATATTATATATAGAGAAGCTTTCAGAGACCTCGGTAACTCAGGGCCGATATTGATCGACCTCTAGGTCTTACAAACTGCATAAAAATAGCAATCATCATTTATATAAAAGACCCGCTGCAACTGGTATACATCTGTTATTTTTTCGGTTTCTTTTTTATTCCAGGCTGGTACACCATATCAAGAGTGTGGACTTCAATTATAAAGGAAAACTTCAAAGGAAGTCGGAGAAATAGTCAACTAGGATTTATTATTAATATAATAAAATCTGAGATAATTTATAAGACGCCAACAAGTTTAGATAACATTTAAACAAAACATGTATGAGATAAATCTTTATGTGCCCTCTCCCTTCCAGAGTTTTGAGTTTTGAATATGTGCTATAGTTTCAAGCAGAACAACGGATCTTTAAATTCAAGGAAAATACATGAAGATAAATAAACGTTTAAGACATCGATTTACCATTACACAGCATTAATTTATTGATAATGAACCAAAAACAAAGTCGGTTGATTCTTGCTGGAAAGGGCACAAGCTGACCGTTTAAAACCATAATTACAATTTGCTGTTTCTGGATTTTAGAATTTCAACTTTACAAGTAAAATCTTTTACATCATTTACAGAGCTTTGCCTTGTTGTTCTGAAGGTAGTTGAAGGCTGCAGAAAACCCTTACTGAGATAAGAAAAACCGATAACACTATATAATCAACTGAGATAAGAAAAACTGACAACATTAAATAATCAACCGATAAAAAAACTGACAACATGAAATCAACTGAGATGACAATTTAATGGGCATGAGGTTCTGTTATTATGACGATATGATTGGCATAAAGTGCTGTTGTCATGATAATATGAACAGCATTAAGTAGCGTTGCCAGGATGATATGACTGCCATGAGGTACTGTTGTCACAACAATATGAACAACATGAAGTAGTGTTGTCATGACAATGTCTGGCATGACATACTGTTGTCATGACGATATGACAGGCATGAAGTACTGCAGGGACACGTCATCATGCAGGAGGAAGAAATGCACCACCCTGTTGTCCAGTATATCTGGAAAAAACAAATAAATACTTCATTAGTTTCCCTAAACTTCTTTTATCAAGAAAGCTTGCATTTATCAGTTCAGAAACAGAAACAAACCAAGAGCAATTTCCAATGACAACAGTGTTTCTAAAGTTTTTAAACTGAACACATAAAAATACATGCAAATGGCAGAAAATACACAAGAAACAATGCGAGAGAAACAACCATGTTGTCCTAGAGATTAAAATTAAACTTACTGCATATCACCCTTTCTGGGTTCACTTGCTGCCCTGATAAAAACTGGGAAAACTTCCTGATGTCTATCCTGGCCTCTGCAAACTTCTCAGGGTCTCTGTCCTTTGGCTGGCTGTTGGCTGCAGCTGACATGTTTTCTTTAGCTAAAATCAGATGAATGATAAAACTTAAATAATTGTTTAAACATCCTTGTGTTATTATTGAGACTGTTGACATTACATTACTCAAACTTATCACACTTTTTGCATCAAAATTGCATATCTTAAAGGACTGATAAAAATTGTGCATACTTATAACAGAAATCTTATTTTTAAATTTTATCTCTTATGATCTTGTACATTTTGAAGTAAAAACATAGTCATAACTAGAGGATCAGAGAGGCGATACCGCCTCCGAATATTGTACCACCAGCTGGAGCAAGCGCATTCGTATAGACCCCCACATACACAAAATAAGGGGTGCAGCCACCAGTCTTGTGCTTGACAAGCTGTAAAAATGCAATCAACAAGAATTTTCAAAATATGCAAAAAATATATATAACTAAAAATGGTGCAATCAAAGTTAAGTTCATTGTAAGGTAGGTCAAAGGTCAATTTCAAGGTCACAGTAAATTGCCAGTATATGACTTCCTATCCAACTTCAATAGTAACTATGGACCTATCTCTGCCAGTTTTGGAGATAAAAGGGAAGCAAAATTTGCAAAGTTCAGTTCATGGTGAAAAGTAGGTCAAAGGTCAATTTCAAGGTCACA